TATATAATAAACACAGAGAAGACGAAAATTCGAATTTCGAAATTTGAAAATTTATTGTGAACTGTGAGAGACATGTGAAACGGAGGAGCTTAAGATATTTATATTAGTAGTTTAATAACGAAGAAAGGGTGAGAAAAACGGTTACTGATGACGTGTCTGTATTGATGACGTCACGATGGATTTACGACCATGGAGATTTTGACACGTGGAGAATTTGGGTTATAAGAAATTTGTGGAACGGGATTGTGTTTTTGACTGTGGAAATGAGAGACGTGTGGAAGAAGAGGATCTCGGATCTGATTAAAAACGACCAAATCCGGCGCCGTTTTATCCGGCATCTTTTCCAAAATAGCTTCCAAAACATCCCAAAAAAAATATTTTCTCTTTAAGAACAACATTTTTTATAAGCTCATTGTTGTACAGATGTAGGTTGTTTCGGATATTTTATTTATTAACATAAGATATTTGCTTGTATCATAGCATTTAAATGATATTTCTTGGTACGATAAATTTATGACAAAAAGTTGTTAGCGGATCTGTGTGGCATAGGTTATGATATGTAGTAAATCTGAAATCGTTTAATATTTGCATATAATGGAGTCAAACAGAGAAAATTGAAATTCACTTTACATGTTTTGACTATGTAACTAATTATATTTATACTAATTTAATATTTTCGTGGCTATGTAACTAATTAAACTATATCAATATAATAGAGTTATGGTCGAATGAATAGTGATATAAAAAAGGGTAAACTTCTAAGCTTCACATCACCATCGTGAAGATATTCAAAAATCAATCAGAAAATGTATATGCCGAATACGTGTAGAAATGGAGGTGATTTGGTCGTTTATGGCTTTCATAGAGGGATTCAAGGTACTTAATTTACGTGTCCGAATAACCGACCGTTGCAAATAAACTGATAACAACAAAATTTCATAAAATTATTTTTATACTCTTATAGGTGAGTTTGTTTCCACGTGGTTCGCATGTAACACGTGTATTAAGTGATTACCGAGTGTTGTGAAACAAATGGGAGTGTGTTTGGAATACTTTCGCGGACGGTGATGTCACTCATAATATGCTTCATAAAATTGACAATAGTTAAAGCAAATCAAGTTCATAGCCAATGGACCAAAGAATTATAAAATGGGCCTTAAAAACTTGAACTAGAATGTTTAAGCCCATAAGAAACTAAGCTTGAGTAGAACTTGAAAGATTTATCCTTTTCGTTGGCAATGGCATTAACTAAATAAATAAAAAGAAAAGAAAAAGACAAAACTTTTAAGATAATTTGAGGAATAAATAAGCAAAAGGTTCAACACAATCTTTCAAGTAAAAGAGAACGAAACCATCAAACAATCCTCAGGAAACGAACAACAAAGTTTGATACTACGAATTACCAAAAAGCAGATTGTTTCATAATTGCTAAACCGGTGAGAGTTGGGTTTACTCTTCGTCATCACCGTCTGCATCGCCACCAGAGGCCTTCTTCGAGGCAGACTTCTCATTCCTTCTCTTGACTCTACCGGGACGGCCACCACCGAGGGGACTGGTCAGAGCAAAGTCGATGTGTTTCTGTGACTCAAGTCTCACCATGAATGATGGGATGTTCACCAACTGCTTTCCCACCCTAGAAGAATAGTTAAGACATGTTAGTATTGGAATGCACAACAAATACCCAACAAACAAGACACAAATGTTTGAGGGAAGATAAGAAATCAATGAAACAAAAACTTTTTAACAAATAAAACTAAATACATTGTGCTCAAACTATTCATGAAAGTTTTAATCTTTTAGACAGATCAAAACAATAGTTAACAGTTAGATCAGAACCCAAATAAAAATGTGTTACAAAAGAGAATTTATCTTTCAAATCATTCATGAAAAGTTTGTAGAACAAGCACAAATGAAAGTGTTTTTGAGTTTAAAGCAAAGGTTATTCAAGTTCAATCTCAGTTAAACCAGTCATCACTAAGCAGTAACCAAATAGTTCATTTCGAATTCCATTTCACAAGAAAACTAGTTTGTAAATCAAATCCAATTGACATCAAAAGGACACAAAATGAAGAACATAGAAAAAAAGGTAATTCGATACCTGATATGCCTCTGCCTGATGAGGACACGAGAGTGATGGATAGACTTAGCCATACCAGACTTGAACACAATAGTCTGAAGACGACGCTCAAGGAAATTCTCAACAGTCAAAGCCAAGACGTAATCGAGTTTGTTCTGGCTCTCATCAAGAAGACCATAACGGTTCATCCTACGGAGTAGAGCCTCACCTTCAAAGATCCTCTTTGGGTTCTTCTCATCAAGAGTCAAAAGATCTCTTGCAGCATTACGGATACGGCTCAAAGAGTATTGCACTCTCCAGAGCTCACGCTTGTTACGAAGACCGTACTCACCAACGAGCTTCAATTCAGAGTCAAGACGCTCCTTCTCGTAAGGACGACGAGGACCCTTGAAGGTCTTTCCATCTATTCACACAACCACACAACATTCATACAAATTATCAGCAACCAAAAGATAACATCTTTGAGATCTACTCATCGCGATAAACTGGAATCTGGTAAAATGACTACAAAACTACAAACCCAGATCCACAAGCCTCAGATTAACCAATTCTAAATAACTCAAAAGCTTCGAGCATCAGCATATAATCGTCGATCTATATAAGTTAGCTCGAACAGAAAGAATCCAAGGCAAGTCGAATCTACAATGAGCAATAATCTAAACGATAAGATGAGAGGAGAGGCTTACAGTTGCGGTAGTAGCAAACGTGCACCATTTCTTCGTCTTCTCACTGAAAATCGGCTATCTGGACAACTAGGGCACGCAGGGAGCTCTGAAAGAGACGAACGGCGATTTTTATAGGATTTCATAAAACCCTAAGTCATGTTTTTAAATTGGGCTTATAGTGAGCCTTTCCAAATGTTATGGCTTGTTTTAATCGGGTATGTGTGTGTTTGGGCTTTGGGCTCTGAGTGTCTTCCCTCTTTTTCTCACCAAGTTTTTTGTTTGAATGTTGAATGTTGAATTTTGGAACTTGCAACCATATCATAAAAACTAAGAATTGCAAACAAAAAAATACTAGTCTTGCCTTCAAAGAAAAACAACAATAATTTAAAGTGACTAGTGTCTCCAATCATATTAACTTAGTGCGTAATATTTACCAACTCCTTATCATATTGCCATATTGGACAATTAGATCTTAACAATAACATCTAATCTAAAACCCTACAGTGGTTTCATAGCAATCGAATAAATAACTGTATCATAAGTTCATAACCATTATCCATCGATGTAAACGTATT